CCCAGAACAATAACTTCACCGCTGGCTCCTGCAGTGGTTGTAGTAGGCAATGAGGAGCACTGCCTGTGGAATGCAAGCATGCATGTATAAACCCAATCTTTTCAGTAGGGCTGGGCAGCAGTTTGGATGGCCCCACGGTTTTGGATACGTTGAATATCTCTTCTACTGGGCCACTCAAATATCCTTCAGCAGAGCCTATTTCCCAGGCTTCCACTAACTTGAGCAGTCTCAGAACATAATTGTCTCCCTTCCAGATAGTGAATAAAAGTGCTACATGGACACCATCTGTGGCATCAGCTCCTTTAGGACAACAGGTGAAATTCTCAAAATCCCATGGTGTCCATGTGTCCAAGGAATGGTAAAGTGTCCCATCTTTACCTTGAGGAACGGTTATGTCTAGGATGCCCTCTGCAATGACTTGGTAATACCTTGTAGAAAACACAGCAATACTGGAGTAACACACTCAAGGAAAATGTGGGGAGACTGGAGTCACCCATGTTTGCTGGATCTGTCTTCAGTTGAAAACAGTGACTAGTTGAGGACCGCATGCTTCCTATTCAGGTGAGTGCATCCCCTCGGTTTCACCTGGACCATTGAGAGATGCTGGGATCCTAAGTCTGTGGTCTTGATTTCACATCCCTTGTACTAAGCCCTTCACCCCATTGAGACCAATGAGCAGAAGTAAGAAAGCAGGCTTAGCCTGATAGCCATGGTAAGCTACCTGGCGTGACAAGAAGCAGGGTCACAATGTCAGAAAACCATCTTCCTGGACATATTCAGTCAACAGATACCTAATTCATCCCTTAGGGTTGTTCTCTTCACTTGTGGTACAGGCTCAGCCACTTTTGTGTTTCCTGACCACATAGAGTTCTCTGTGCCAACCTTGAGATACCAGTTCAAATCTACTCCTTTGTCTCCCTGCAAGCACCAAGACTCTCAAAGGAAGTGAGCAGACATCCACCATGTCAGTCCGTCATGAGGAATTCTGTTCTGGCAGCAGGACCTGTGCCCATCCCTTCTGTGATTCAAGACACTTATTATAGCATTATTCTGGATTTTCTCCCTAATTTGTAGTGATCATAGGCAGTTTGGTTGGATGGTACCCATGTTACAGGGGATAAGAGCTGAGAGGATGGTATAGGTGGGGCTTTTAGCAACACAAGGGTTACTGCGTGTGACAAGAAGGTTATACTTTTCTTCCATGCTCCCCCTTCACCCTGTGCTTCCTGGAGGACGTGTGCAAGCCAATTTCCTCCCAATATGACTTCTCTCTGCTGTTTTGCCTCAGAGCTGATTGAATGAATATGCACTGGAAACTCTATAAATTGTAACCAAAAATTATGTTCTCTCCCAAGAAATATCAGATGACAAATACTGAGTCTTAGCAATGGGAACATAAATGAGCAATCCCATGTATGTTTCTGTTATTTCTCCAGAATCCTCATGTCAGAGCCTGCCTTCCCTCAATCCCCAAAACCTGAAGTGAAGGGTTTCCCCTTTGTGAGAGGAAGACCTTCACACCCTGAAGACCATCTTCCTCGACCAAGTTGAATGTATTCCAGTTCATCAGAACTTGTCAGACATGACCTGCTCAGCAGAAAGCCTGTGAGTTTGCTGGTTCCTGGCTGCAGGCACTCACTGTCCTCAGCAAAGTCTATACATTGGTCTGTCATCTCCTGGGGTCCTCCCATTACTGACCATATATAGATCCCTCTGCTGACTTGTGGTCTCTGCTTGGACCAAGGTACTGAACTCCTTGATTTCTCTCAACTCACAACACTGGGACACATGTGAACAGTTCCTATGCAACCTCACACAAGTAACCTCCACCCTGATAGCAAGGGAAGCCGGGATATGTGGGGTCAGATTTTATGGGTGTGGGCTCCATTCAGTTCTTCAGTGCTGTAGAAGAGCAGAATGCTCAGCAATAGCAGTTCAGCTTCTCCAAGGTTTGGTATGAACACATTAGAAAATTCCAACTGTGGGTGACCAAACCACTGTTTCAAAAGTAGATGTCTAGGAACTGGGAAGACAGTAGCTGAGCAGTTCAGATCTACAGAGAATGCTTCCATGATTTAGAAACCTTAAGTTTCCTGTTGTGAAAAGCTCATATGCACATCAACAAATGAACAAATACACAAAATATGGTGTTTATGTACAATGAAGGAATACGCTGCCAAAAATAATGATAAACAGACAATATCTTACGTTAATGGATGCAACTTGAGTCCATATCTGATGTGAAATAAATATGTCACACCAGTTCAAATACATTGTTTCTCTTGTGTGGCAACTCCAAACTATAAACTTGGAGCTAGTTGAAGAAAAATATTTGGAAGGAAGAATAAATAACATGCTGAATAACAATGAGAACCAGAGGTGTGAGGAAAGAGGAAGGAAGGAACAAGGTTTTACAGGGCAAGAAAAATTAAGGGAAAAGAAGGAAACACAGCTTTTAAAATGGTGAAGTAAAGGGAGAGAAAACAAATAAGATGCATTATTCATGTAAGATACACCTCCATGAGGTTCAGTATCGACTGCAAACTCATACAATGAAAAATATTGCAGAGAAATTGTACAGACTGTACAATTTCTACATAGTGAAAGATCAGATTGGAGTCTTCCACTTGTTCCTGCCTCTCGGGAGAATGACTGAATTTGTAGGCCCCAAGCGAAACTTGAGGACTCTTGCAGGTACTGTACAAAGTGCCAGTGGTCGTTCAGTACAATGCCAGATGCCATGATCTCAAGGACACTTTGGGGTTCTGTTCCCAGAGTGATCTCACAGAAAACAGCAGCAGATCGATGCCTATGCCCATGCTTGGCACAAACTTGTAGAGTGCTTTGGCTTGAGTTCCATTCCAAACAACTTTTGAGTATCTGATTCT